AAGGAATAGTGCTTTGAGTGTTTATATTATTCCTACGGTCTTGATAATTGCGTTAGAGTTTTTTTTTTTTTTTTTCGGCTAAACTTATGCATGGTCTAATTGTAGTAAATATATATATATATATATCTACTCATTTACTCATACTTTAACAAATAATAACCATTTTGTCACTGTTTTTTTTTCACTTATGCGATTACTATTTCTTTTTTATCTTAACTCCTTAATATATTTTTCATAATATTTTAACTTTTATTTGTCTCCGTATCCAAGCAAAATTGCATAAACATCCTGAATGGAGCGAGTGCATTATATATTGTATTTTTTAGCAATATTTTTAGAAGATCGTGAAGCTAAAAACTACTAAACAAACACGTTTGATATTTTGTGTTTCGATAGGGATTATATTTAAACCCTTGAAAATATAAAATAGCTTCATGTTTTCTTATATTTTACCTATGCGACCTCGATATATATTTAAAAAGCACCCCAATTGGAAGGAGATTTTTATAAATATTATTCAAGATTCTCAACTATATCGGTAGTGTAAGGTTTTATTATGATTGAGAACTTGTGTTTTCTTAGGAAAAATTTTGATAAACTTTGAATATACCTCACGATATACACAAACAGCACACAACAAACACAAATCACGGATCGAAAGAAAAACAATGCATATACAATATAAAATAATCGAAAACATCAATGTTTTGAGGTTCAGCCCCTAGTTTCACCCAAACACAAACAAACCAACCCGGAAACCACATAATAGGCTAGAAACAATGCATGCAATTAAACACAAACGGCCCCAGTCTCTCCTAAAATCAAACCAAAACCCTTAGCAAAATTGATTTATGGTGTTTAATACACATGTTACTCCTAAATAGTCTTGGGCCTCCGGAGGTGGCTAGTGGCCCAGCTCGGAGGAGTAGATGGGCCGACCCAAACAGCCACAATCCAGCCCAAATTTGTGTACGGATAAGGGCAAGCTTAATATGGATGATGAAGATATTAAGTGAGTCAAAGTTTTCTAAACAAGTGAGAAGTTGAAAATGAAGGGGGATAGAATTGCGGACAAGGAAATAATGGAGGAGTGGATGAAGTGGGGATTATCTTAATTTATATATTAATATATATATATATATCACCTAGGAGGAGAGGAAGAAAAAACACCCAGCCATCCAACACCCAAATAATTTTATTTTATTTTATTTTATTTTAATTTTATTTATGCTTATAAGCTTAAATTCATGTTTTATTTTTCTAAACGATTAAATCCAAGTTATTGTCAATCATATTTTCAATTCAGCTTCTTGTTTTCCATTTACTTTGCATTTCATCTACTTTGCTTCCCATATTGCAATATTTTTCAATCCGATCCCCACCATATTCGGTCCATTGTCGGGCTATCGTTCTACGAATATTTTTGCTTGGAGGTGTTGCAATTCAATATCCGGCTGTGAGATTAGCCCGAATCCTTTCTTGAGGAGACTGGGGAACCCAATTCACGTCGATCTTGACTAGCCTAATCCATTGGGCTGTCATCGATGAATTTTTCAGCGATAACAGATTGGCACACCCAGTGGGACTCCGACGAGTCTCGCATCTCATACAACTAAGGAATCACAAACTACCATATTTGGACAGCACCGCCATATCGAAATAAAAAGGAGTCGCCAAAAAAAATCCGGCGCCACATGTTTCTGGAGAGATCACAGACGATGAGTACCCTAGGGCTCCGGAAGGTGTGTAAAGAATGGTGACGATTCCGGCCAGCATTCTATAGGACCAGATCCGGAAGGAGATCCAAGCGACACTTCATGGGTCGGCACTGAAACTTTCCCGGTATATTATGGATGTCTTAAAGTTCACCATCTGTGATGAATTCTCACAGATGAGGGACGAGAAAATGCGCAAGGACAAGGCACCGGCGGACAGCCCCGAAATTGCTATAAATGACCCTCTAGCAAACGCAACGCAGGGGGCACAGTTGGATCACCTTCGGTGTCACTCCAGTATGGCAATGTGACCATACTAGGCTAAGGAAACGGAGGCAGGGGCCTCCCGGACGAGCCTGTGATTGAAGGACCAGGGCCAACCATATCAGGACCGCCTTAAAAACAGGGACATCTATGAGGTATCAGATGTGCACAACTCACGTCTCAATGGTGTACCAACCCTTTATTCAGCAGACTGTGCGCCCCTACATCAACCACGTATGTAAACACTCATGGGAACTTCCCGGCCGGAGAAAGCAGCTGACCCTTGGGGGCATGACCCTTGGAGTTGCTTGTGGAGCATCCGCTCCATCTCCAAACACATCCTGGGGGCAGCCCCGCAACCTCCGGGCAATGTACCAAAAAGCATCCCTTGCTGGACTAGCCACATAGCAAGGGTACGGACCTCCACAATAGGGGCCCTTGATCCAGTTCAGTAACTTTTTTCCATCACCGGCAGCACATCCGAGAGTGCCAGTCGATGGGAACCAAATTCGTCCACCCCCGACACACCCTCCACAAATGTATCAGCAACTCTTCACCGTGTTCAGCCAGGCCTGGGACAGCCCGGAGGATATACTGAGATTGCTCCTCTGTCATGACCAAGTATTAATCCGCAGACCATCGAGGAAGCAATTTGGAGGCTGATGTTGACCCTATTCGGCTACCCACTATGCCCCATTATCAACGGCCATTTTTGGATCAAGCTTCCATCGACCATCCGTTACCCCGGAAGGCACAGGTTCCGGACTTCACGTTGTTCTTAGAAGAAGATTCATGATCTACTATCTCGAGCATATCAGCCGGTTCACGGCACAATGCGGAAGAGAGTTCGGGACAAACCAATGGTTTAAACTCCAATTATTTTTTTTGTCTCTCACAGGGCCGGCATTTACGTGGTATGCATTTTTTCCGCCAAACTCGTGCAACACTTGGGTGGATCTTGAAAGGATATTCCTGAGCGCTTTTATAACCCCGATCCGGAGTTGATGGCGTCGAATCTAACCAACCTAAGGAAAAAACATGATGAACCTGTTAAGCAGTTTTTGGAAAGATTCAACAAGGAAGAAGGGTGGTATCAGGTTCGGTACCTGAAAATCAAGTGAATATGGCCATTGATAACATGACACATCAGCTCCGAGAGAAGCCCTCAAAAAGTATAACGACCTCCGATAGCTCACCGGGAAAGCAGTGAAGGCAGAACACCTCATCCGAGACACCCATGCTTTCGGACATCATAAATTTGAAAATGGAGCACACATGGTCCAGGCTCAAGAGAAGAATCTAAACTGCCCGGACAAGTCGGAGATGAAAATCAAAATAGAGCCATTCCCGGCTCCGATTGGTGTCTGACCGGCTCGGGGGAAACAGTCAGGCCTGGGTGTTAAGTGTAGTCCTAGACGACCTACCCCGAAGAGGAATGTGCTCGAGCGGCTTAGGAGATCCATCAAACCTCCATGAAGAAACTCGGCATGGGATCGTCTTTCACCCAATAACACCATCCCATAAGCTAGTTTAAAAAAAAACAAAAGGCAAGATTTGGCGAGTAACTTTGGTTGACCAGGTGGTGATAACTTCTTACCTTATGCAACGACCTGAAAATCCCCCGAAGGATGGGAGCTGGTCAAAAAACCAAAAAGTGAGGAATCCGCCCCTTATTAGGACTCAACGGAAGAGGCAGCAGCGGCAGCTCCGGACAACCCGCCTTATCCGGGAGGAACAAAAGAAGCAAGACAGAAAACCTCATAAAGGTCATGTGCAGACTGTTGATAATGGAGATGCGCCAAAAGCGGAAGAATTACTCCCCCGAAAGAGAAGACAATAGGAATGGGGGCCGAAATAGGCTGTCCCGGAGAACAAAAGCGATTTGAAACAACAGGCTCCCCCGGAGGTACCAGTAGCACCTATTTTGGAAGTCAAGTCGGTCATTGAAGCATTGGAAGACGATAAGACATCACTTGCAAGTTTGGATATCATCGCGAATGATCGGAACTTGGAACAGGCGTTACGCTACAAAAAGGATTTTCATATGAATACCATCAGCTTTTTGCCCAAAGAGTTCTTTGAGACTTGGATGGAATGAAATGAAAGGATTTGAAATCCTTCACGGAGGCCAATGTACGACCTCCTTGCCAATTTATTCGCAATGAATAAGGATTGGGAAGTGATATGGGACCTTGAGGGACGGATTTACGAGACATGTGGTGCCACCGGAGGACCCAAATTTGTCCCGGTACATACTCTTGAGAGGCAGACACATTCCTCATGTCCGTCGCCTTCCCCGGATGATCATAATATAAAATAGCTTTGCTTTCTCATCCGGAGGGCTAACCCATCGTTTGAGGCTCAGGATCCTGTCGAAGAAATCAATCTTGGTGACGATTCAGCCCTCCGGATGATGCAGATCAGTTTGTTGCTACTCCCAAATGATGCGGCTCAAAGCCCTCAATCATAGTTTCTGTTACGGAGGTAACAATTTTCCAAACCTCGTAAAGAAATTTTGTATTCATTTTCAACTTTATTTGTATTGTAGATTTTCTCAAACCTTTACATTTGCAAAATATATATTGAATTTATTGTATAATTATCTAAAAATTAATCAAATTACATACCTAGAAATTTACAAATACCTTCACTACTTTTAAATGTTTACATATACATCCTCAAGATATATTAAAAAATTACACCAAAACTCTACCAAAATTACATATACAATATCGTGTTTTTTAAATCTCAATCTACTTACCACCAATACAAGAATTACAACAAAATCTAATGGGATTAAAAGAATAATAAATAGTATTTATAGAAATTGACTATAATTATCGTAACAAATCATAAACTAACCAATTATTTTCTCGATTCATTTCAAAAGGTAATAATTATGCCAATCCTTTGACTAAATATGACAATCTCAAATTTATTAGAACTTTCCTTAAAAACCGAATCCTCTTGTATAAATATATATGCAGTTTTTTTCTTAAAAACACATCAAATAGAATAAAAATGACTCGAAAGAGGATAAGACATGAGAAATTGTTGAATGAAAATAAGCGAAACTCTGTCCTCTCCAAAAGATCTGAAGGGCTTGCGAAGAAAGCCGAGCAATTACAGATCCTTTGCGGGGTCGACATCGCCATCATTGGCCATCGGCAAGGTGGTGAAGGCAATGTCATTCTTTGGCCATCTCCAGAAGCAGTTGAGGAGAGGGTGAACAAATTCATGGAGTTTCCAGAGCTTGAAAGAAAAAAGAAAATGGTGACTCATGAGAGTTATCTCGAGCAAACTTTGAACACTGAAAGGGATAACATTGCTAAGCTCCAAAAGGTTATGGCAGTGAAGGAGGGCCATCAATTGCTAGCCCAAAAGCCATTGGACATGATGCAAATAACAGAGCTAAGTATGGTGGAAGACATGGCAATGGACATGATTAAAAAATTGAAGAAGAGGGCCGACGAAATTGGCCATCCGATGGGGACCACGTCCGGCCTAGTTGAGGGTGGTGGAGAGCTTCTCTAGGACCATCGCTTTAGGGAGATTGGGGCAGCTGAAGATCAGGGACTCATGCAGGCGATCATGGCGATGGGGGCTGATAAGTGGTTTCTTGGTGGACATGGTGGTGCCAGTTGCAGTGATGGTGGTGCCAAAAGCAGCGGTGGTGATGCGGGTAGCAGTGGTGGCGGCACTAGTGGTTCGTCTTTCTGATTAATTTTATTTAAATTTCTTTGAGGAAAGTTGAAAAAAAAAATCAAAATTTGCAATGAGTTGCTACCGTCTTTACCAGCACTTTATTTTTAGTTTAATGCTTGTTGTTATGGTTTTCATGCTTTTACTTTATGCAAAACATGTTTGTTTTGATTGAAATAATATTGAAAGGTTTTCTACATTCTTTTTTCCATATATTTAATCTTTCATCGAGCTTTAAATTTTTTTTAATATGAAAAATTCATTTGTTCCACTTTTGTATGGCTCGAAACAAAGGTGAAAAAGCAACTCGCAATATCAAATTGGTATCAAACTTAATATGAATCCCAAGAATATAACAAATATGATGGTGCCATGAATGAAAAAAAAATTATAAAAACTAGAGTACTAAGATGTAATGAGGAATCACAAAAACCAAATACGTTGTCAGTGAATCAGATGAAGGTGCTAAGAAAGGTGTGCTTGAAGGACATGATATTAGATAATTGGTTAATTATTCAATTGTTGAATTTTAATTTTGAAAAACTAAATTTAGAATTTATGGAATTGATTTACCAGTGAAAATACAATGGGCTGATAAACTAATTTAATTGGATGAATTTGAAATAAATATATATTATATATTGAATATAGGGTTTGGTTAATGTTTGACTAATTTTTTCTACCTTGAGTTTAACCAAATTATGAAGTCCAAAATAAAACTCGGATATATGACCCAAGTCGCTGGATTATCCGAATAAAATCCTATTTGGTGGATATATCCATTATAACTTCAAATAGAAGGTTTGGAATTATCGTAAATTATGGCCAAGTCAAACGGAAAGAATCAAATTAACATAAATTATTATCTTTAATTATGTTGACAATTAAGGTCGTTGATTAATCTTCTATCATTTTGATTGAGGCCCCCGTTCATTCTCAAACACAGCAGTCCAAATACGAGCTCTCTCATTTGCTCTTCTCTCTTCTCCGGTCACGTTTCCAACAAGCCTTCCTAGTCTTCCAACAAAGCTCGGTATTTTTCTTATTTTTGTTCGTTGGAGCTTCCACTTATTGAGATGCCACTTAAGCTGAAGGCGAAAGTCATTTTACCTTGGAGACAAAACATCATCATCAGAGGCACTACCAGGTGCTGATTTGTATTGCTTGGATTTTATTTTCATGGAATGATAATAGAAGGTACTACAATTCCCATTCTAGATAAGGTCATGTATATCTTTTATAGGGTTGATACTTCGCCAAGATGAAGATTTGTTGTAAATGGATCAATATCATCAAAGGTTTATGGCTCAAACAAAGTGAGCGGAGTAAACTAATAAAGCCACAACCTAATGAGTCAATCTAAGTCTTCTCAGGATAGAAATTAGGTCTAGTGAAGCCTGACACATCTAGGGGTGTGGGTGGCGTCCTTAGGGTATGGATCGGGTCGAGTGACCTAAACTTGTGTTGTAAAATGCTAGGGTTCTTGAGTTTTTTATTGCTAGGGTTCTTTTATATTGTTAATTGTAACTCAAATACGGCCGTCAAGCATTCCGAGAAGGAATAAGAACAACACACAACATCGAGGACATACGCAATTTTCGAAACCTCGTAAAGATTTTTTTTTTATTCATTTTCAACTTTATTTGTATTGTAGATCTTCTTAAAACCTTTACAATTTCAAAATATATATATATTGAATTTATCATAGAATTATCTAAAAACTAATCGAATTATACCCTTAGAAATTTAAAAATACCTTAACTACTTTTTAATGTTTACATATACATCCTCAAAATATATTAAAAAATTACACAAAAATCTACCAAAATTACATATAAAATATTGTGTTTTTAATCCTCAATCCACTTACCACCAATACAATAATTACAACAAAATCTAACGGGATTAAAAAAATAAAAAAGAGCATTTATGAAAAATGACTATAATTATCGTAAAAAATCATAAACTAACCATTTATTTTCTCGATTCATTTAAAAAGGTAGTAATTTCACCAATCCTTTTACTAAATATAATAAACTCAAATTTATTAGAATTTTCCTTAAAAATCCAATCCTCTTGTATAAATAGATGTGCAGTTTTTTTCATAAAAACACGTCAAATACAAGAAAGATGATTCATAAGAGGATAAGACATAAGAAACTCTTGAATGAAAATAAGTGAAACTTTTTCCTCTCCAAAAGATCTGAAGGGCTTGCGAAGAAAGTCGAGCAATTACAGATTCTTTGCGGGGGTCGACGCCATCATTGCCCATCGACAAGGTGGTGAGGCAATGTCATTCTTTGGCCATCCCCAGAGGCAGTTGAGAAGAGAGTGAACAAATTTATGGAGTTTCCAAAGTTTGAAAGAAAAGAGAAAATGGTGACTCGTGAGAGTCATCTCTAGCAAACTCTGAACACTGAAAGGGATAACATTGCTAAGCTCCAAAAGGCTATAGCAGTGAAGAAGGGCCATCAATTACTAGCCCAAAAGCCATTGGACATGATGCAAATAATAAAGCTATGTATGGTGGAAGACATGGAAATGGACATGATTAAAAAACTGAAGAAGATGGCCGACGAAATTGGCCACTGATGGGGGCAAGGTCCAGCCCAGTTGAGGATGGTGGAGAGCTTCTCTAGGACCATCGCTTTGGGGAGTTTGGGTCAGCTGAAGATCAGGGACTCATACAGGCGATCATGGCGATGGGGGCTGATAAGTGCTTTTTTTGCGGACAAGGTGGCACCGATTGCAATGGTAGTGGTTTCAGTAGCAGCGGTGGTGATGCCGGTAGCAGTGGTGGTGGCACTAGTAGTTTGTCTTTCTAATTAATTTTAATTAAATTTTTTGAGGAAAGTTGAAAAAAAAACTCAAAAGTTGCAGTGAGTTGCTATCGTCTTTACCAGATGATTTGTTTTTTCGAATCCCTATCAAGATAGATAACAAAAATAAGCACAAGGCTAAATGCATAAAAATTGACAAGTCTAATTTGGTTTGAGAGCCTTCAAAAAAGTGTGATTAACAGTCCAAATTGATGGGTAAGTGCCTTGATTGTGGAAAAATAAGACACCTGGAAAAGAACTGTTTGTTATCTAATAAGGAGAAGACAAATTAAAGTTCCTATTTCGTCGAGATGTACCACATAATTGATTGTGACCTTAAAAATGATTACATGATTTTCTTCATATACGAGACTAATCACATTAAGAGTCTAAATGCATGGTTCATTGATACCGGAACCATATGCCATATATATTCCGACAAGACAAGTTTCTCAACATATTATGAGACCGAATGAAGAAATTTATGAACGGGAAAACATGTGACTTCCAATTTCAAATATGTGGAGAACATAGTGCTAAAGATGACCTCCGAAAAAGAGTTGACATTGAAGGATGTTTTGCATGTGCCTAACATCCGAAAAAAAAATTGTATCTAGTTCGCTACTTATAAGACATTGTTTTAAACTAGTCTCTGTAGCTGATAAATTTTATCAAAAATTGAGATGTTATTAGCTAGAGGTTATCTTAATAATGACTTATTCAAACTAGATGTAATGGTTGTGCACCGAGCACCTATTGTGAATTATAACAATATGTATTTAATTGAGTGCTAATTATGGTGTTGTAGGTTAGGTCATATAAACTTAAATCCTATAAAAAGATTAGTAAATATAAAATTACTAAATATCACATAATTGAATACTTAGAGCAAGTGAGAGTTTTTGTCGAAAATAAAATGGCTAAGTTACCATTTTTTTCTGGAATGAAGTAATAGATAGTGAAATAGACTCAATTATGTAGAATAACACTTGAGCAATATTCTAATCCACCTAAAGGTCGTAAGCCTTTAGGATGTAAATGGGTCTTCAAGAGGAAATTCAAAATTGACAAGTCAATTGATAAATATAAAGTCCGTCTCGTGAGTGACAGGCATAAGAAAATCCGAAGGGTTTTATTTTTGTTACCTATTCACCAATGACTAATTCAAGTGTTTCTCTCAATTTCATCTTTGAAAAATTTTAAAATTCACCAAAAAGATATAAATACTGCATTCTTGAATGATGAATTAGAAGAAAGAGTGTATATGAAACAAAAGGAACGATGTGTTGTTCAAGAGCAAGAAAAGACTCTGTATAAATTGATAAAGTCTTTTATGAATGAAAACAAGAATATTTGAAATGGCATTTGAAATTAATAATTTTATGTTATCAACTAGTTTTTAAATCAATGAATGTGAGATGTGTTTGAATATTAAAGAAATACCTTATGGAATTTTTAGTAGTCGGTTTATATGTAAACAATTTACTGACCATGGCTAAAGGTGTAAGCTTGATTGATGAGGTCAAAGGTGTGTTGAGTCAAAAATTTGATGAACGATTTGAGGTTAACTGATTTATCTTCGGAATAAAAATTCTAAAAGAAGGTGAAGGCCTTATTTCAACTCAACCCCGCTATGCGGAGAAAATACTAAGGAAATTCAATGTTTTTTACAATACTCTAGCAAAAATTCCAATGGACCACAATATGCATTTGAGCAAAAATATAAGAGACCTTGAAGCTTAAGAAGAGTATGTCAAAATCATTGAAAGCCTAATATACTTAAGAAATTGTATAAGGCTTGACTTAGATTTTTATTATAAATAAGCTAAGTCGATACACTAGCAATCTTAATGACAAACATTAGAAATATCTGGTGAGAGTATTGAGTTATTTGAAATTTAGACTTGACTTTAGCATACACTATACGAGATATCCTCCAATACTTAAAGGGTACAGTGATGGTAATTGGATATCTGATACAAAATACTCGAAGTCTGCAAATAGATATGTATT